ATACAACAGCATTTGATGTTGATTGAGTAGCATAAGCGTCACAGCATTCCTCAATGTAGATCTCAAGCGTCGACATATCCTCCATCTGAATTATGCCCCACATATTTGTTATAGCTGGCTCATCAATGAGCGGCATAAGCATGTACTTTCCCCCGTTCATGGGAAATTTCATTTTCAACCGCAAAGAACGGTCGGGATGAATCATTGTGGTTGCATGTATTTTTTGAAGGATCTCGAGCATGCAAGCGCCACGAGAAACCATGACAAAGCTGGTTCTACCACCTTCATGGCATATTTGCCCACCATTCTCATAATAGTTCCCTCCCCAATGACACACGAGTGGGAAGCTTGAGAAATCCATATTCTAATAACAATTCATTGTCCAACATTCATGAGTAGGCATCAATATACACACTTTATACACATTCAAATTTTCAACAGAAAAAGCTACCAAAATAGTAATATATCCAAAAGTCAAATTTCACAAACAATTCACATTTCAATATGAAACTACCCAAATTTTGATATCTACATTCAATGTCTACCTTTCAATACCCAAATTTAGCTACATTCAAGTCTACCCAAATGCCCAAATGTCAAAATACACATTAAAATTTACAATCAATTTAAAATCAAATTTCAACATTTCATACATATCCACATTTCACAACAACTGAATTCACAATCAATTCATAATCCAAAAATTTTAAATTTATTAGATTCAAAACCCTAAGTTCAAAATGAGATGAAATGGAGTTTGAATTACCTAAAACAAAGAAGAAAGAGTGATGAAGATGGAGAAGGAGGTTCGCCGGAATGAGGTCGCCGGAGAAGGAGGTTCGCCGGAGCTGGAGATGGCTCGTCCTTCGTCGCTCGTCGCTCGTCGCTCGTCCGTCGTCGCTGCAGCAGAGGGTTGGGGGGATTTGGGGAATAAACGCGTTCTGTCTGCGAGCCAACCCGTCTGCCTATTTAATAGGTAAGTCGCCCAATGGTTGGGCGACTTACCCCGACCCTGGTTAACCCAGCAGTATATTGGTAAATACTTTTAACCCAACCCTATTTTCGTAATTATTTAATTAATTAACATTAATTAGGAAAAAATCTCGAGAGATTTTCTAGAATGACGTTTTCATTTTTGACATTAACTAGACCAATAAGTGTAAGAAAGATGCAGAAGATGATAATGATCTTATTTGGCAACCGGCCGTTAGCTGGTTATGACAGTTGATTGGAAATAGCTGATTGTGCCGGCTATTTTGATTGGTTGATTATGTTAGCTGATTGTCAGCAAATGTTTAGTAAATTAGCTGTTTCAGAATAGTTGTTTGTGTGTAAAAAACATATATGGACATTAGTATCTAATTTTATATAATTTTATATAAACCATTCATTCTACATGTTGAGGTTAATTCCGGGAGATCCAAAGGCCCAAAAAGACAAACCTTTGGATATCAAGAGTGCTTTTCAATAGAAAGTGGTTAAGAAAATAATTCAACTAATCAAATGACTCAATAGCTCAATGTATTAGAATAATAGTGATGATTACAAGGAAAAGACCGAACGAGAGTTACGGTCTAATTGCTAATACAAGAGCTAGAGTGAAGTATAATATTGCTGAGTATTAAAATGATAACCCTTTACAATGGAATTAATGCTACTATTTATACTAGTGGTGAGTAAGTGAGATGGATGACGTGGCAAGCTCTCAACGACTGACCCCTTGCCACTTGCAGCACCCATGCCTCCACTTGAGCGCCCATACTTCTGCAGTAAATGCGTCCCCGCCACTTGCAAGGTTTCCTCGATTGGTACTTTAGGCCAGTGTAATCAGCAACCAAGAATGATGCTTTTTATCCGTCAAGTATGGAAACTGACCCGTTCGAGAGATACCGAACGGTTCATACCCGGTGGGTGAGAACCCGTTCGGGAACCACCCGGCATTGCATTGGGCTCCATTGCCTCTTTAGGTTTTAAGAATACTTTGGGTCGGGTCACTGGACCGGACCCTAATATCCCAACACTACATATTTTAGAAATTTTAGGGCATTCGTGGAATATACTGACTTTGTTTGATAATTTATAACTCACTTTTAGGGTTATAAATTGATATTATTCGCAATTTCGCATAGGTTACCTTTAAAATCATACTACGTGTTATATTAATACAAGGCCCAAATAAAATATATCATCCGATAATTACTAACATCAATTAACTACACGTTCATTCTACTAACTAAAAGTCTAAAAGCCTACCATTTAAAAACGACGGTGTAGAAGAGTAGAGAGCTTCACATCCAATTGCTCAAAACGTGAGCACTAAAAAAGAAAAATTTCAAGAAGCGGCAAATATTAAGTAGAAGGGCACAATTGGATTTAATCAATCGGCCAGTTGGAACTTGGAAACGCTGCCATGCTCAACGTTTTTCATTTTGGTTTTTTGTGTTCGAATAGCTGAGGGAATAATCTGTTTGCCAAACAATAAAATAGATTGTTGGGACAGTCAAATCAACAAATTTTGGTGAAAGAAGCTGAAAATTGGCTAATCAGTTGTTTGCCAAACGCAGCCAATGTCATTTTTTTGGCCATAATATCTTCTCATTAGCATGATGTAAAATATATTGCCTCAACTCCACCAAAATTGAAGTAAGAGGTAGTTACATCGTCAATAAATAGAGTGAAATTATGCGATTAATATTAAATTGACAAAGTATGAATAAAAGAACATTAATTAAAACCACACTAATATAAATTTATGATGTTGGACAAACATAATGGGGCAATGAGTATAATGCACATAGGAAGTACATGTGATAGAAGATAAAAGATTTTAGGAGGGGGAGGAATGAGGGGTGCGATCGAGGGTTTTACATCGCAACAAGAGGAATCGCCGTATTGCCCGAACTGCATTCGATCGAGGCCTTGGCAAGATCAGGACAGATTCGGGCGTCCACAATTCACACATGGATCCTGTCACCGATGGCGTGCAGCGGAAAAACATCACAGAGGCCGGACGTCGAGGGACTGGAATCGTCCTCATCCGACTCCGAGGCAGAGATACTTGGACTTCTTCTCCGGCTACCAGCACAGCAGCATCGGAAAGCACGGCTACATCAGGGATACTATTGAACGGCCTCAGTGCAGATTTCAATCTCTTGCCCAGAATCGTGCTTCTCTCCATTTTCGTACTCCAAATCAGCCGGCCTGGAGATGTAATCAAAGACAGAGGACATGGGGTTCTTGGGAGGTGGAGTATGTACATCCCATTTCTCAAACTCAAACTCCAGATTCTCCCTCACAAATTGGGTATGAGGTTACAATTGAAAGCAAAAATTTTCAATTTACTATTAATGATTGTAACCTTTTGCGAATATCCGAAAGGAAGAAGGGAATCATATCTGCCATTGACCTTGATTTAGCTAAAGCTATTTGGTTAAAGAATTCCATTCTCAAAATTTTACCGGGGAAATTTGGAACTAGGTGTGAATTGAATAAATCTATTATCATGCTCTACGATGCAAATCTGTTTGGAGGTTTTATTCGCATAATTGAGAATGGAAATGATAATTTGTTTATTCCTGAAGGTCGGAATGGATTAGGGTTCAGTTGTTTTCTCACAGGAGTTACAAAATCAATTGCTTTGATGGAAGAAATGGTTGCTAAAAGATCAATGGAGATTGAACATGCTACTAGGGATGACTTTTCAGTTAAAATGAGTAGCAACTTCGAATTGGAGCTTCTGAACTTGGACCGTGCTTTTCCTTATTGTGATGAATTTACATCTTCCATTTCAAGTGTCTTAATGCAAGCTGATATTGATCAATTAATAGATCATGCACTAGATTTGGTTTATGTTGAGGATGTTCAGTGCTCGGATAACACTTCAAGGGGTGCTGTTGTGATTCAAAATACTTCACAGGGGCATTTACTTTTGAATCCAAAGAGATAGATGAGGCAGATATCCTAGAAACTACTCCTCTCCAAGTTTCTTTCACTGAAACTCTTTTAGCAGATGAAATGGTTTCTCCTCAAACTGCAGTTTTGGAACTGATTGCTTCGGGTGGAAACGATCTTGAAGTTACACCTATTCAAAGGGTACTTTCTGATCGTGAGCTACTAGATAGGGTTGCTGACACTGAATGGGACTCGGCCAGTTCAAGATTGCTACCTCGACGGAGTACTTGTCTCAAGGCTAAAAAATTGGCTGGAACTTAGGATCGCTTTGGATATTTTGGGGATTTCAAATCATCTCTTTCGACCGGGCAACTCAATACAATTCGACGGGGAGCTAATCGCTTTTACTTTAGGGTTTTGCATGGCCTTTGGGATTGTTCACTTAGCTTATTAGCGTTTTTGTTTCTTTCATCTTCTTTTTGTACCCTTCTTAATAAATTTAATAAAGTATCAAATTGCTGACTAAAAAAAAAAGATAAAAGATTTTAATTTTTTTTTTTTAAAAAATGCACATAGAAGATGGAGAGTGGAAATTAAAGGTGAGGGTGGGAGTCTGGGAGAGTGGGAGATGGAGGAGCCAATGCAGGATGCAAGGTATTGTAGTCCCTCTTACTTCAGATCCGATCTCTTTTTTTCATTTCACTCAAAAGTCCATACTATTTTTTTTGTCAAATTTTCTCTTTTAACTTGCTATTACCTTGTCTCGTTATACCTCATTAAACCCCCTTAAAAAATAGGAAATTTGCCATTTAGATTTATTTATAAGAAAAATAAGTGATATAGTTTATAAGTTTATTTTTAAATGTAATGAGATATTATTAGGATAAAGAACTGTTCCTTAATGATGACCCGAACCTTGATTGAATGGATCGAGTTAATTGCTTCTTTCACACTGCTGGATTGGACCGACCCTCTACTGGTCTGGGCTAATTAATGGTTATGGATTGCACCATGCGCATTGGCTATTATGAATGTTTTTACTTGGACAAAAATTTGCTGGTCTAGTCTAGTTTGTTGAGGTCTGGTCTGTTTCAATCTAATCTAATCTGGGATTGAAAATAGTCCAAACAAAAACATCTTATATCTCAACAAATATGATACAATAACAGGAGCATTCAAATAGTCTTCCAAACATCCAATCAGATGAACATGAGGCAAGTGAAATGTGAAGGTTAAAATAATCAAGTCATTTAGCGATCCTACATTCCTACCAAAAACCTCAACAATTTTCTTGAGAGCTCTGCTATGAACCTGAATACTCGCGAAATTAATTTGTTAAGAGTGATTTCTTGTGTGCAGTGATGTATAGATGATAGTAGAAACTCCGCGAATTGTTCGAGCGACTTGAATTTACATCTCTCAAAGGTTAGGGGTGGGTTCTTGAAAGCACATGATTAACCCGGCGAAGTTGAGATCATCTGGCGTTAACAAAAAAAAATGTGAAAATGTTGCTCTGTATATAGATTGTTAAAATGAAAAAGTTTTTATATGTACTCGCTTCTCATTGTTTAAGCAAACAAGTTCTGTACTTTTCTGTACTATATTTTTTGTCGGATCATATGTAGGTCCCTAGGTTCGTAACAAACTAACAACTTTTTTCAAATATTAATGAAAATCTTAATTCCCCATTTCCATGCAGTTTTCTATAGTAGTTCAACTTAATTAAAGAAGAAATATGTTGACAGTATACCCAAACCAAACCAGCACTGTACCACCTAAGTCCTAACTATGGTTCTAGCAAATGGAGGACCGGAACCTCCGAAATTTGAACAACACTTGAACCGAGCCCACCCTACTCCAAATTGCACAATTCCAAAAGGAGAACTTTGAAGATAAAAAATCCTTCAAAGGGATATTTACGATGGTCTATATATTTCATAAAAAGTTTACAAACAGAAAAGAGGTGGGTAGATACCCATTATTACCAATAGACGAGCCTAATATACACTGAAAGTATATATGTATTGCAAGAAATCGAGGATGGGGGGAGTTGGGCATAACCAGATTGGGGATTCGATGAAAACAAAGGCGAGTATACTGTTTTCCAGTCTATATACCTCGAAAGCTATCAGTTTTATCAAGCTTGGAAGTACCAGAGCTCGAAGATTCTCCCATTATGTCAGGAGAAGATGCCACACGGGACTCCCTCTTCAAAGTTGTTGGCAAGCTTGAAATTTCCTGAATCATTTCCAAAGGTATTCACAGAGTTACACAGCATACCCAAAGCAAAATCAATATAACTATTGAAGAAAAGTGTATGATAAACATTCAAGAATTAAAAAAAAACGGAAAGAGGAAAGAAGGACTTTGAGGAAGACAACATTGATGATGATCGATGGTTAGAGTGAGTGTGGTTAGAGAAAGAAATTGAGAGCTGTGAATTGATTCAAGAGTGAAGAGTGCATAATAGGGGCGGAACAGGTCCCAGTCACAGTTCCGGAAACAGACCAGACAAGACGTTTTTGCACAAACCCCGGCCACTTTTACTGTTCAGCACCTTGTAACTGGTCATAATCTGGCCTGAGAACTGGCTGGATCTGTTCTGCTTCCTCAAACTATGACCTGACCTGTCCATACCTGTTCTGTTTTTAAAGAGAAAAATGAGCTCAAAACGGACCCCAGAAGCAGACCAGGATCGTCCTGGTATACCCAGTTGCGGTTTCACCATTTCGGCCTTTCCATGACAGGGAACCTGAGCTGGACCTGGTCCACCCCTAGCGTAAAGTTTAAAACATATCCTCCTCTATAGACCAGAGAGGCATTCATAGAGAACCAATACAATGCTAGGTTACCGTTTAAAGAAATCGCCCCTCTGCACTCCACTAGGACAGTCTAACACATTAACCATTGACCAACAAGTGTGCTCCAAGTGTTTAACCAGGTTAGCAGATGGACACGTGGAACACATGGTTTCTAAGTGTTTTGACCAGAAAATGAACTCGTGCAAGAAAAGCTTCTGGCAAGGAGTCTGGGGTCTCAGTCTCCTTGCTGGCAAAGGAATTCCTTGCCAACCAGGGATCTCTAAGATCAGCCTAATACTTGGAACTCAACACTTAAGAGCCGAAGGGTTTTTGGGCTCATGACTAAATGCCTAAAGCTACGTAGACACTGGGGTCCAGATGATAATACTATTCTGTTGTTACCTTCATCAAGTGCATCCTTAAGTCACAAGGCCGGACTTGATTCCCAATGCACGCCATGACAAACCTTGAATATTGAGACAGTACATCTGCAGCAGCTTGTTTCTTTAGCTCAGTCTGCAAATAAATACAAATATATCAAGCAACAGATAAAATATTTTATTTTCAACACCTGGTCTCAAAACTTGGTGGGTAATAAAAATGAAATGATCTTCTCTAACACAGTCCCACATACACACCCTTTTAACAAACATTATAACTACAGAAGTTCATCGCATCAAGGTTGTCACGGACTTGTTACATGCAAAAATCATGACAAGGTGCTACTGCCGTAATATTGATATACGGAGAATGGCTGAATACAAGTTTTGGCTGAAATTGATTAGATGTGTGCTTCTTAGTATGGATAAACCCATAAACAGCACTATTGACAATAGCAAAAAAATTACGTAGTACAAGTAAAAGCTGTACTCCATATATATATGAATTTTAAGAAAGCAAATTTGTAATGTCATCTAAACCACACAAACTGAAACCAAAGATGAGAAACCAGCAACTTTGAGGAGTAAGAATCAAATAGAAGCTGAAAACCCTAAACAGATGGTCTGCAGTGTTATTAGAAAAGCTATGCTAGACAAGCATCTCAAGCTTTAGGTAAAATCAGTAAGTAATCCTATTTTGATCGACTGGTTACAACGGAACCAACCTCATATCTCAAAAGGCGCAAAATAATTCGATCAATTTGTAACATAACAAAAAAAAAGATGGTTAAAAAATTACAACACCAGAATCTTGAAGCGCAAAAAGAGAAAAATAGTTAAGGTTTCCGAACAGAATATAAAGTTACGGTTTTGTCAAACTGAAAGACATACAAAGCGATTGAAGACGATAGGTATGATCATTGTCTACTTACCTCGTAGTCGTCCTTCATAGCTGAATCTGATTTCTCGGACTCGAGTGTTTTAGCGTATAACACCCATATTACCATCTCTTTTTACTTGAAAATATAATTAGTTATGTTGGACAACATTGCAACTTGGCCTATTAGCTCAGTTGGTTAGAGCGTCGTGCTAATAACGCGAAGGTCGCAGGTTCGAGACCTGCATGGGCCAACAGTTATTTTTTGTGGTTTTTCACATTTTTCTTTTTGTCAAGGAAATGGTTAATGGTGATTATTCATGAAATGATGTTACAAATACTAGATTTTTGATAATAAATATTTTTGTCAAAAATATTTTGATAAGTATTTTGATAATATAAAAAAAATTTGTGATAAATATAGATCAATGTATATATTATTTCTAACAAAAGTAAATAAAGATTTTAAAAATTACAAGTTATTATATACTTTCTTGTAAATCACATTTAAACTCTTCTTGACCAGTTTTCCATCTTCATCACATATAACAACCTTCAGCCCAAATGTAGACGTTACTCTTAAGACTGCGGCATAAGGTTGTCCATGGATGAAAACCGAACGACATAAGAAAACATCAACCCTCTCCAAAGATTGTCCCTGAAATGTGAATGACAGCTTTAGGTCGAATGGAATCAAGATAAGCTTCGAAATAAGAAATTTTTGTCCTGCATCTATTCTAGACATCATCTGAGCCTCGAGAATATGGGTTCCAAGTTTAGTCTTGATGGAGTATATGGCCCAGGAACCCCCGGCCCATTGACTCCTACTTTCCCCACAAAGGCCCATTGAGCCCAAGGAACATCTGAGGCCCAAATACAGCGGCCCAAGTCTTCAAGAAGCCCAAAGTACACACGGGGATGCCTTCGACCACCTTGGCCGAAGGCTCCAAAACTCACAGCATGAACTTTTTTGGCATGCAAAGTTACTGGGAGAAAACGACGGAAAACAGGAGCCTTCGGCACTGTTGAGCCCTCGACATCAGAGAAGCCTTCGGCCACATGAAGCCTTCGTCTACGCGAGGAGCCTTCGGCCAAACAGGCTCAATCATCGAAGATTCCCTTTGAAGACAGCCAACCACCGCATTTAATGCAACGTCACATCCACCAACCGCATTCAATGCGGTGAACATGCCACTGCCGGTGCCACCCGATTGATGTGACCCCTCGGCCGTTGGATTACTGACACGTGTACTCTCATCGCATTTATTGCTGCTATAAATAGCAACCCATTTCTCCTTGTAAACGATGCCAGATCTCACATCTCGAGTTCATTTAATACAATCGACTCTCTCTCCTCCTATTTACTCTGACTTCTCTCTAAGTTATTCCCGCAATAACCCCTCGGATAAGATACCCCCCGGGTAGACTATCCATCATTTGGTGCTCTCGTTGAGAGGTCTGAACAATCAAGTAAGAAACCCTCCCCCTCCACCAAACACATAACACCTACCGAAAATGGGAAAAACTCGTGCCCAATCCAAAACCCTCGAGGAGAACCACGTATCCCCCGGCAAAACCAATGGGGCTGAAGCCTCCAACAGGCACTTAGTACCCGAAGGCGGTACCATCCTCGAATTAGAGCAGGCCGCTACTGACCTCCGTCAGCAGCTACAGAAGAACGTCCCTGATGCCCGCATTGGCCTTGATAATCGAAGGAGGGATCGGAGTGAGAACCAAGTTCCCCCTCCGCCCCGGCCATCGATCTTCAGGCTGCCTTTGCGGCCTTTGTCCAAAACATGGCTCTCAATCCTGGAGCCTTCGTCTCTCAGGCGCCCCTCCAGCCCTATGCTGGAGGAAATGTTGTCCATTTTCCGCCACTCCCTCCTCTGTTCAACAATCCGCCCCTGGGGATTGGCAACGCCGAGGGGGTCATGATGCAAGACACCGCCTCCCAAGAGGCCCAAGTACAGCGGCCCAAGTCTCAAAGAAACCCAAAGTACACTCTGGGATGCCTTCGGCCTCCTTGGCCGAAGGCTCCAAAACTCACTGCGTAGCCTTTTTTGGGCATACGAAGCTACTGGGAGAAAACAGCAGAAAACAAGAGCCTTCGGCACTGTTGAGCCCTCGGCGTCAGAGAAGCCTCTGGCTACACAAAGCCCTCGGCTGAGTGAAGCCCTCGGCTTCATGAAGAGCCTTCGGCTAAACAGACTCAATCATCGAAGATGCCCTTTGGAGATAGCCAACCACCGCATTTAATGCGACGTCACATCCACCCACCGCATTCAATGCGGTGAACATGCCACTGCCGGTGCCACCACGATTGACGTGACCCCTCGGCCGTTGGATTGTTGACATGTGTACTCTCATCGCATTTATTGCTGCTATAAATAGCAGCCCTTATTCTCCTTGTAAACCACGCTGAGTTCATTTTAATAAAATTGACTCTCTCTCCTCCTATTTGCTCTGACTTCTCTCTAGTTATTCCCGCAATAACCCCTCGGATAAGATACTCCCCGGGTAGACTATCCATCAAGTCTCTATAAGGCGAGTGGCATTGCACAATCCAGCGGAATGATCAATATTTCTCATTAACATCACATGTGCACTAACTTTTCAGATTCAACTCATGGTTTGGCACACCCTACCAAAGCATTTAATGGTATTGAATTGGGAAATTTTGGAGAGTTGATCTCTTGAGAGAGTGTGTTGTCTGAATCAGAAGATGCTGAATCTAAGTTTAAGTACTCCCTCCGGTCTTATCAAAGTTCTCAGTTTGACTTCACACAGATTAAGAAAATAAATTTGACTTTACTGTGGAGTGCACTGTTTGGCACTGTTTGGACACTGTTTGGCACTATTTTGCACTGTTTTGTTTCCTAAAATGGAAGTGTGAACTTAAATAAGGGACATCCCGAAAAGGAAAGTGAGAACTTTAATAAGGACCGGAGGGAGTATGCGTTACCTCACCTGAAGTCAGTCCCAACATGTAATTGTTGATCTTCTCATGTTGATCAATAGTTGACGCAAGAATTGCCCAAGAATTCAAATAACAAATGTCATTATAATGTATTTCAAAATCGGGATAGGTGGTCTTAACAATATCTTCAATTGGATCATCCATCATAGGGGCAATAAATTTTTCAAGGATGTCAACCATTGATTCTCCATAATCACCGTCCCTTAAGACCTCATCTCCAATCTTCAAAATCCACCCCACAATGTTTTGAATCTCAAATATGATCAAAGTAAGAACCATTCACAACCACCCAAATTTTATCGAATTTGGTATGGGGCAATCTTAGTAGGCGGAGTGAGAAAAAATAAGACAATCTTAGCGGGACGGAGAGAGTATAATAGAAGTTTAACTTTTTAATTCATAGGCATTGCCCATTTTCTTCTGGTGAATGAAATTCAGACTTAATGACATAAATGACACTCCAACTAATAGTAACAATGGGTTTTGTTACTTCAACCATTGGCAGATGCAAAATTCCCGAAAGAAGGGAGTAGTGTAAAGCAAATACATACTAATACGTAGTGATATATTACTACGTAGAACTTTGGAGTATACATATTCTAAGTAGAAAAAAATTGGGGGTGGCAGCCACCACATACCCTTCTTTGTGTATAGCACTGGTCTTCAACTATTTAGTGAAACAAATCAATCTCCAAACCATTCTAAAATGTTTCAATTTATGGTACTTCATTTGAAATTTGATTTTGATCCTATTTTACGCTTTTGAATTCAAATCCACACCCTATTTTGAAATCATGAATAGTTACACAACATTACAAAATGTTAAGGAGGTTTAGCAATATAAATGTTACTACTTCTGTCCCGTTGAAAGGTTCTCATGACAAAATGATATGGTTATATTTTGAGAAACAATTTTAATAGGTAAATAATATAATGTATCTAATGTTGACAATTGTGATGCTATAAATGTTTTATTTTCAGTATTTAATTATTAATTTATCATTCAAGATTGTTATTTATTTCCTAAAATGGAAATGAGTATCTTTATATGTAACATCCAAATTAAAATGAAAGTGAGAATCTTTCTATGGAACAGAGGAAGTATAAATTTTGAGAAAAAGTGAGCATAAACTTTTTTGAAAAAAAAAATGCGCCAAACGTACTCATTTTTTCTTTCTCAAATTTCCCGTCTATTTCAAACAAAGTTAAATAGTTTTCATAACATTTAGTACCCGCTTGGTAATATCAAAATCGACTGATTGTGTTGAAATTTATGAAATTCTGACAGAAGTGGTTGAGATGGATGATTTTGCTAATTTATGGGGGGGAAATATTCAAAATATATTTTATTAATAAAATAAAGATAAAATTACATGTTAAAATAACAAAAAATGGTGATTTATAGTAATTTTAGCCAATTCAATCAGAAAAGTAATTGCAATCTTACTTTTTCTTATTATTACACTATTCAACACACAAAATCGAAAGTTACGTGTTTGGTGAAAATTGGGCTGATAAGCCGAATAAAATAGTTATCAAACGGGCGCTTAATACAAGTAGTTTGAAAAAGTGAACACGTTATAAATGGAAGGCAATTACACCCTTCATATTGAAAAGTAAATAATTGAAACAGGGTCACATTAGTAATGTACTACGTCTCAACAATCAAAGGAGTTATTGAAGTAACTACATTGTTGTTCCCCTATACAAAGCTATTTATAATTGCACAGCCATGATTTACATCCAAATAACTAAGATGCAAGTATGTAACCCATACATGCTCAGGAAGTGTATTTTTAGTTATATTACATCTGATCAATATATAAGACAGAGTTCTTGAATGCAAATCAGGCTAGATCAGTCATCTATCTCTCGATTTTCTATCCAGGATGTTAGATATTGAGACATTCACAAATGGATACCGCATGAACATTAGCATCTCATAAAAAAATCAGTGGCTACATATATCTTCTTTAGAGAGTGTGCTGCAATCATTATACCACCAGGAATCTCAGTAAATGCATTATAATCAGTCAGGGTGTATATAGTTTCTCATAAAGGCAGTCAAATTGAAATATGTTTCCTTCTCTTTGATAGCCTCCTTCAAAGATTTATCTTTAGAGCAAGTCATATATGAGTATAAGACCAACTTCCCAAGGACCCGAGTCCCAAACT